AGAATTGTTACTCAGGGACAGACAGAATTGTTACTGAGTGCCAGAGAATTGTTTACTCAGGGACAGACAGAATTGTTACTGAGTGCCAGAGAATTGTTACTCAGGGACAGACAGAATTGTTACTGAGTGCCAGAGAATTGTTACTCGCACAGACACAAAATTGTTACTTGCACAGACACAGAATTGTTTACTCGCACAGACACAGAATTGTTACTCAGGGCCACAGAATTCATACTCAGGGACAGACAGAATTGTTACTGAGTGCCAGAGAATTGTGTTACTCAGGGACAGACAGAATTGTTACTGAGTGCCAGAGAATTGTTACTCAGGGACAGACAGAATTGTTACTGAGTGCCAGAGAATTGTTACTCAGCACAGACACAGAATTGTTACTGAGTGCCAGAGAATTGTTACTCAGGGACAGACAGAATTGTTACTGAGTGCCCAGAGAATTGTTACTCAGGACAGACAGACAGAATTGTTACTGAGTGCCAGAGAATTGTTACTCAGGGACAGACAGAAATTGTTACTGAGTGCCAGAGAATTGTTACTCAGGGACAGACAGAATTGTTACTGAGTGCCAGAGAATTGTTGTTCGCACAGACACAAAATTGTTACTTGCACAGACACAGACAGAATTGTTACTCGCACAGACACAGAATTGTTACTCAGGGCCACAGAATTCATACTCAGGGACAGACAGAATTGTTACTGAGTGCCAGAGAATTGTTACTCAGGGACAGACAGAATTGTTACTGAGTGCCAGAGAATTGTTACTCGCACAGACACAAAATTGTTACTTGCACAGAGAACAGAATTGTTACTCGCACAGACACAGAATTGTTACTCAGGGCCACAGAATTCATACTCAGGGACAGACAGAATTGTTACTGAGTGCCAGAGAATTGTTACTCAGGGACAGACAGAATTGTTACTGAGTGCGAGAGAATTGTTACTCAGGGACAGACAGAATTGTTACTGAGTGCCAGAGAATTGTTACTACTCGCACAGACACACAAAATTGTTACTTGCACAGACACAGAATTGTTACTCGCACAGACACAGAATTGTTACTCGCACAGACACAGAATTGTTACTCAGGGCCACAGAATTCATACTCAGGGACAGACAGAATTGTTACTGAGTGCCAGAGAATTGTTACTCAGGGACAGACAGAATTGTTACTGAGTGCCAGAGAATTGTTACTCAGGGACAGACAGAATTGTTACTGAGTGCCAGAGAATTGTTACTCGCACAGACACAAAATTGTTACTTGCACAGACACAGAATTGTTACTCGCACAGACACAGAATTGTTACTCGCACAGACACAGAATTGTTACTCAGGGCCACAGAATTCATACTCAGGGACAGACAGAATTGTTACTGAGTGCCAGAGAATTGTTACTCAGGGACACCTAATCGTTGAATTAAATAGTATGTCAGACAACATGCAGAGGAGTGGCAGAGGAGGCAATGTTTTAGGAGCGAGCAGACGTGGCAGCAGAGGAAGGGGTCGAGGCAGCAGTATTCGCAGCCAGAGGCCAGTGCTCCCGGTGTCATCCAGCGGTCGTGTCTCCACCGACAACCCTGCCGTCATTGATTGGTTGGCTCGGGTCGTCTTCCTCTTCCCAGGTCACCTCTGACACCTACAGCCAACGGTCGGTGGGTACGTCAGACAGACACAACCGTTAGTTGGCATGGCCCGGGACCAAGCCCACTGAAATCACGTGTCCTCTACCTGCCCCTGTCCTTTGCTGTTCCCTCACCAAGCGAAGTATCGCATGCTGTGTGGGCTCAGCCCCACTGTACAGTGAGGAAGAGCTAACAGAGGGCGGTCAGGAACGGGGGGGAGACATCGGCCTTTTTCAGCAGCCCAAGCGAACAAGTACTGGCGAGGAGAGTGGCTCGGTAGCCGGTCTAGAGACAGGTCTGTCTCCTGACCCAGACGCAGCCGGGGGCTAGTAGTGAGGCGGAGACCCTACTTGATGATGAGAGAGGTTGATCGCACTTGGCAGCCTCGTCGTCATCAGGCAATTTCTTCCGCATCATCAGGAGAAGAGAGGGTGGCAGCTTGGCAGCGAGCAAAACAGTCGGTGGGTTGCCCAGGAGACAGCAGCAGGGTCGCATCAGTGTCAGTGGAGCCAAACGTCCACGGAGTAGAGCACCAGCTCCACTGCAGCCTACCACCACGGCCAGTAGTGGTGCCGGTGCACACGGAGGAAGTCATAGCAGTCAGCCAGTGAAGAGTAGCGGGGGCAAAGTTTCCTACTCGGTGGTGTGGCAATTTTTCCTCAAGCCGCCCGAGGAAGTAAACGTAGCCGTATGTCGACTATGTGGCCAGAAATGCAAGCGTGGCCAGGGGGCCCATGTTGGGACTACAGCGTTGCGTCAGCATATGCAGCGTCACCATTCGGTGGCCTGGGAAAACCGTGATAAACATACGGCGGTTTCTGCCTGCCCCAGCCCCCGCTCCATCACCCGCTCCGTTACTTGCTCCGTCACCCGACGTCGTCAATCGCCCTCTATCAGCCAGTCAAGGCTCCAACACCTCTGCTGAGGGGAGTTGTCGCTCATTGGCATCTTCCGCTCGTTCAGATGCTCCTTCTCCTGCTACTCCTCTTCTCGGATTCCGTCAACAGTCTTTCTTGGAATCCGTATCCAAGAGACAACAGTTTGCGAGCACGCACCCGACGGTGCAAAAGCTGAACGTCCCTCCTGTCCAAGTTGCTGGTGCTGCAGTCCCTCCCTTTCCAACTGGTGGACTCAGCACCTTTCCGAGAAATGATGGCTTGTGCCGCGCCGCCGGTGGAGAGTGCCAAGCCGTCATTTCTTTGCCCAAAAGGCAGTGCCAGCCCTGCATTCACATGTAGAAGAGAGATGGTGGGCCAGTCTTTGAGCATGTCGGTCTCTGCCAAAGTGCACGGCAGCGCCGACGTGTGGAGCTGTAACTACGGTCAGGGACAGTACATGTCATTTACGGCCCACTGGGTGAACGTGGTGCCGGCACACAGCCGCACCAGCAACTTGGACAGGTCACGACGCTTTTGCCTCCACGTTTGCACGTCCTGGTCCAGCAAGCATGTCCGCCTCTACCACCCTTTTTTCCGCCGTGTCCTCAGCCGCCGCCACCCCCGTGCCAAGTCCCATTACCCGACCGGCATATCACATGTGCAGGGCGCAACGGTGTCACGCTGTGCTGCACCTGGTATGCCTTGGCGAACGTAGTCACACACAGGGGAGGAACTGCTGAGTGTAATGAACAGAGAAATCGACAGATGGCTGTCTCCGCGCAAACTAAAAATCGGAACCATGTTGACTGACAACGGAAAGAACATGGTGTCTGCTCTGCGTCAAGGAAGGGTTGTGCCATGCGCCATGCATGGCTCACGTGTTCAATCTGGTTGTCAAGCGGTTCCTAAAATCCACCATCCCACTGCAAGACATCCTTAAAATGTCACGTAAACTGTGCATGCATTTCAGCCATTCCTACACCGCAAAGAACACCCTCATTGAGCTGCAGCAGCGGCAGAACGGAATTCCACAGCATCGCCTGATCTGCGACGTTGCAACAAGGTGGAATTCAACCCCTACACATGTTAGACCGCCTTTACGAGCAGCGAAAGGCCATCACCGATTTCCTGATGTTACAAGCGGATAAAGGTACTCCCCTGTGTAACTTAGATGTCAGCCATTGGCAGCTCATGCGTGACACCTGCCGCTTGCTCAGGCCCTTTGAGGAGGCCACGCTATTCGTGAGTCGGCAGGACTATGGGATGAACGACGTCATTCCTCTGTTGCACGTCCTGGAACAAATGCTGTTAACAATGGCTGGTCAGGGTGCGGTAGACGTGGCGCACAGATCTCAACGCCACATGACCCCTGTGGGGGCAGGACAGGAAGAAGAGGAGGAGGTAGAGGAGGACATTTGTGCTCAGGAATTATTGAGTGAAATGGGTGGTTTTTTCCACTCAGCGGACAGGAGTGGAGGAGCAGGAGCATCTGGTAGAGGAGGAGGAGGAGGAGGAGACAGAGGACCCAGACGAGGCACCGTGGCAGTATGCTGTGGAGATGGAGGCAGGGAGTCCCTCGCATTCCTTGGCACAAATGGCCCATAGCATGCTCGGTTGCTTGCGTAGCGACAGCCGAATAATAACCATCAGACAGAGGGATGACTTTTGGCTGTCCACCTTGTTGGACCCTCGCTACCGGTCCAAAATGGTGGCCTTTTTTTCACACCTGCTGAGAGGGAGGCCAAAATTACGTACTATAAAAACCACCTATGTAGTCAGTTGGTCTCTCTGCCTTTGTGCGCCAACGTCCATCCTCAGACACTGTGGGCCCTGTGCGCTCGCGTTCCGCTGGCATGGCAGCAGGGGAGGGGTGGGGTGGTAGGAGCAGTGGCAGCTCCACCAGCAGTGGCTGCCTCAGTCTGCAGTCGATGATGAGTAGCTTTCTTCACCAGCGCAGTGAGGAAACTACTAACCAGCCGCAGCAGCAGCAGCAGCATCAGCATCAGGTGGACCTGGAGCAGGAGCTCAAACAACAGGCTTGGGCCTACTTGGACAGCACCCTGCCAACCGAGGTAGACAATCCCCTTGACTACTGGGCAACGAAACTTGACCTTTGACCGCCCCAACTAGCTGAATTTGCCCTTGAAAGGCTGTCATGCCCGGCCAGTAGCGTGGCATCGGAGCGCGTGTTTAGTGCGGCAGGAGGTATTGTAACTCCGCGGAGGACACGACTGTCCACCCAAAGTGTGGAGAGACTCACGTTTGTGAAAATGAATCAGGCGTGGATTAGTCTGGATTTCAAACCACCAGTTCCTGACACAACTGACTAAATCCGCCATGAATCATGCCTCAAACATGTGCCACTTTGAGGTCTCCTCACACACTGCTGGTGTGTTGAATTTTTTGACATAGGGTGCTGGCAGATTATGGGCCTCCTATAGCTGCTGCCAGGCCCCTAATCTGCCATAGGCCCCTATATACCGCTTCCTCATGCTGCTGCCAGGTCCAGAGTCTCTCATGGGTCCCTGTACGGCCTCCCATTGCTGCTGTCTCCATCGCCACACTCTGCCATGTGCCACTTTCAGGTCTCCTCACACACTGCTGGTGTGTAAATTTTTTGACATAGGGTGCTGGCAGATTATGGGCCTCCCATAGCTGCTGCCAGGCCCCTAATCTGCCATGGGCCCCTATATATACCGCCTCCTCATGCTGCTGCCAGGTCCACAGTGTCTCATGCCATGTGCCACTTTCAGGTCTCCTCACACTGCTGGTGTGTTGAATTTTTTTGACATAGGGTGCTGGCAGATTATGGGCCTCCTATAGCTGCTGCCAGGCCCCTAATCTGCCATGGGCCCCTATATACCGCCTCCTCATGCTGCTGCCAAGTCCAGAGTCTCTCATGGGTCCCTGTACGGCCTCCCATTGCTGCTGTCTCCATCGCCACACTCTGCTGCCATGTGCCACTTTCAGGTCTCTTCACACTGCTGGTGTGTTAAATTTTTTGACATAGGGTGCAGGCAGATTATGGGGCCTCCTATAGCTGCTGCCAGGCCCCTAATCTGCCATAGGCCCCTATATACCGCTTCCTCATGCTGCTGCCAGGTCCAGAGTCTCTCATGGGTCCCTGTACGGCCTCCCATTGCTGCTGTCTCCATCGCCACACTCTGCCATGTGCCACTTTCAGGTCTCCTCACACACTGCTGGTGTGTAGAATTTTTTGACATAGGGTGCTGGCAGATTATGGGCCTCCCATAGCTGCTGCCAGGCCCCTAATCTGCCATGGGCCCCTATATACCGCCTCCTCATGCTGCTGCCAGGTCCACAGTGTCTCATGCCATGTGCCACTTTCAGGTCTCCTCACACTGCTGGTGTGTTGAATTTTTTGACATAGGGTGCTGGCAGATTATGGGCCTCCTATAGCTGCTGCCAGGCCCCTAATCTGCCATGGGCCCCTATATACCGCCTCCTCATGCTGCTGCCAAGTCCAGAGTCTCTCATGGGTCCCTGTACGGCCTCCCATTGCTGCTGTCTCCATCGCCACACTCTGCTGCCATGTGCCACTTTCAGGTCTCTTCACACTGCTGGTGTGTTAAATTTTTTGACATAGGGTGCAGGCAGATTACGGGCCTCACATAGCTGCTGCCAGGCCCCTAATCTGCCATGGGCCCCTATATACCGCCTCCTCATGCTGCTGCCAAGTCCAGAGTCTCTCATGGGTCCCTGTACGGCCTCCCATTGCTGCTGTCTCCATCGCCCACACTCTGCTGCCATGTGCCACTTTCAGGTCTCTTCACACTGCTGGTGTGTTAAATTTTTTGACATAGGGTGCAGGCAGATTACGGGCCTCACATAGCTGCTGCCAGGCCCCTAATCTGCCATGGGCCCCTATATACCGCCTCCTCATGCTGCTGCCAAGTCTAGAGTCTCTCATGGGTCCCTGTACGGCCTCCCATTGCTGCTGTCTCCATCGCCACACTCTGCTGCCATGTGCCACTTTCAGGTCTCTTCACACTGCTGGTGTGTTTAATTTTTTGACATAGGGTGCAGGCAGATTACGGGCCTCACATAGCTGCTGCCAGGCCCCTAATCTGCCATGGGCCCCTATATACCGCCTCCTCATGCTGCTGCCAAGTCCAGAGTCTGTCATGGGTCCCTGTACGGCCTCCCATTGCTGCTGTCTCCATCGCCACACTCTGCTGCCATGTGCCACATTCAGGTCTCTTCACACTGCTGGTGTGTTAAATTTTTTGACATAGGGTGCTGGCAGATTACGGGCCTCCCATTGCTGCTGCCAGACATGTAATCTGCCATGGGCCCCCGTACCGACTCCTCATGCTGTGACGTTGCAACAAGGTGTAATTCAACCCTACATATGTTAGACCGCCTTTACGAACAGCTAAAGGCCATCACAGATTTCCTGATGTTAAAAGCGGATAAAGGTACTCCCTGTGTAACTTAGATGTCAGCCATTGTCAGCTCATGTGTGACACCTGCGCTTGCTCAGGCCCTTTGAGGAGGCCACGCTATTCGTGAGTCGGGCAGGACTATGGGATGAATGAGGTCAAATCGGCCATGGGCCCCCGTACCGCCTGTTCACGCTGATGCTGGTCCCACAGTGTGACCTGGGTCCCTGTACGGCCTCCCATTGCTTCCACTCTGCCATGTGCCACTTTGAAATCTCCTCACACTCCTGCGGTTGTCCATTTTGTCATAGGTTGCTGGCAGATTACAGGCCTTCCATAGGTGCCACCAAGCCCCATATCGGCCATGGGCCCCCGTACCGCCGGTCACGCTGGTGCTGCTGCTGGGCCCACAGTGTGACCTGGGTCCCTGTACCGCCTCCCATTGCTCCCACTCTGCCATGTGCCACTTTCAGGTCTCCTCACGCTCCTGCTGGTTTCCATTTTGTCATAGGTTGCTGTATGGCCTCCCATTGCTGCTGCCTCCACCGCCACACTGTGGCTCCAAACACTGGTTTTGGCCCCGTGACTGGCCAAAGGAGTGAAGTGTGCAGTGATTCTAAGATCGACGGCACTCATCTGCATGTCATACTGACAGACAGTATTATTTCTCTTCCCCAGCAGACTCCAAGGGCATTTAAATTAAAGGTACAGTGTTCTGCACTAATATTAAGTCTCTCTGAAGCCTAGAAACACCCTTTTTTAAGTTAAATAAATTCACAGCGAATTTATTCGACTCGAATCGAATATTGTCCACGAATTCGCCGAATCAGTCGAATCGAATTTTTCATTTCTTCGCTCATCTCTAATCCTTACGCTGGAACCCTTTTTATGCAAGATTCGTACTAATCCTAAAATATTGGATTATCAGAAGTCCTCTGGGATGCACAAGGTGGCAGCCTTCACTGATGATTTAATTTTCTTTGTCACCATTCCACTTATCTCCTTACCGAATGTTCTTCACTCCTTGAAGGAATACGGGGAGTTGTCTCATTTTAGAATCAATCTGGGAAAATCGTGTGTGCCAAACATTTCTGTGTACCCGGAGGCTGTCCGAAGCCTATGACCCTCTTTTCCCTTTAAATGGGTGCACGCTGCAACTAGATACCTAGGATGAACAGTACCCCAGACCTGCAAAGCTTTACTAGGCAATCCTTGAACCTCTCCTATCTAAGCTTAAAGAGGACCTATTGCACTGGCACTCCTTGACGCTGACCTGGTTCAGCCAATGTAACACCCTTAAAATGACAATACTTCCCTGAATCCTTTATCTGCTGCATGCTCTTCCTATCTGCTTGCCTCTCTCTTTTTTCTGGAACATTGGTGCACAGTTTCTGGATTTTATCTGGTCCTATAAAAGACCGTGCCAGAGGCTGAAGAGTCTCTCCTTACCCAAGTCCTTTGGGGGGTGGGCCCTTCCGGATATTTCGAACATACTATAAGGCTGCGCATCTCGCAAGGATACTCGACTTGCATTGTCATGGAGAAGGAAAACTCTGGGTCACCATGGAGATGGAAGATTCCATTTGCACTGCAAGGAGTTGGGTATGGATCATGTCTCCGCTCCCTCCTCTCGGTAGCACTCTCCATGCAGCAAGGGCAGAGTTTCGAGCTAAAACGGCTTCTTCACTTCCCACACACATTGTTTAGGGTGTTTGATTGCCACAGACCTTCCTTGCTTGGTTGATCCCCCTCTGGACTTCTGAAGTGGACTACAGCTGCTCTTTCCTCCTGGTTGTCAATCACCCTCTAACTGGATTTAAACTGATGTGCCACAAAGGAGAACGGGTCTGCCATTCACTCTCCCTCCTTTATGCTATCCTCACGCATCCTGGCGAAGACTACACTCCTCCCTTTCTCCTGAAATGGGAATCGGAGCTTGGCTTCAGTTTCACCGCCAATCAGAGGAAAAAAATCCTCCATATTGCCCAAAAGTCCTCTATAGCCATGGTGGTCCATGAGTCTAGTTACAAGGTCCTCACCAGATGGTACAGGGTTCCCTCCTTACTCCACTGTATCTCTCCTAAGATCCTAGATACATGCTGGCGCTGTGGTGCTGAAGGTAGGACCATGCTTTATATATTTTTTGGTCATGTCTGGGAATCCAGTCGTTCTGGCGTGTGTTGTGACCTTAGTTATCAAAATCGATGAAGGGCAGCTTACCAGCAGATGCATAACTGGCTCAATTATATGTAAATGTCTGTAAGACCATTAATGAATAGTTTAACCACTTGCCGACCAGCCACAGTACAATTACTGTGACAGGTCGGCACTGCTGCGCAAAATCACGTATATATACGTGATTCTGTATTTCGGGTATTGGGAGCACATGAGGCGCCACCGATCGCGGCCATGGGTGTCAATCACTGGGTCCCGGCCAGTGATTAACCGCTGGAGCCCGGCGATTTGCCGGCAAACACTGACAGGGAACACGACTGCAGTGTTTATACTGCAGCTCTCCTCCCTGTGAGTTTGATCACACTTATCCGGAGAGCTGTCCGGATCAGTGTGTAACAGTGAAGTACACCCCCCTGCCCCCTAGTGAAACACTCCCCTCACACAGTCAAGCCTTTGATTGCCTTTGAATGTTAACCCCTTCCTCCCCAGTGCCATTAATACAGTGTCAGTGTTTTTTTTTGCACTGATCACTGTATTGGTGTTACTGGGGTTGTCAGTGACACCGAGCCAGTCCCCCCCCCCCCCCCAGTGTCAGAATGTCCACTGCAGTCCCACCATAAATCGCTGATCGCGCCATAAGTCACTGATCGGCACCATTATTAGTATTAAAAATAAAATAAATTCTAGTATCTATACTGCCATTTGTAACCACTATAACTTTCACATATACCAATTAATTAATTAATTGGGAATTTTTTTTAGCAAAGACATGTAGCAGAATACATTTTGGCCTAAATTTATGATGAAATTTGATTTTTTGATTTTTTTACTGGACATATTTTATAGCAAAAAGTCCAAAATATTGTTTTTATTTTCAAAATTGTCTGTCCTTTTTTTTATAGCGCAAAAAATAAAAAATGCACAGGTGATCAAATACCACCGAAAGAAATCTCAATTCGTGGGGAAAAAAAGAAGTAAATTTAATTTGGGTGCAGCATTGCATGACCGCAAATTGTCAGTTAAAGTAATGCAGCGCCGTATCACAAACCATTTCCTGACAACTTCCTCACCATCCTATAGCAGAAATACTTCTACAGGGTGGCACAGGTGCTCAAAAGCACGTATATATGGAAATGTGATGGGCAGTCAGAAAGTATAAGCTGTGTAAATTGCAGTATCTATACCATAGTTTGTAGATGCTATAACTTTCACACAAAGCAATCAATATACACTTATTGGAATTTTTTTAACCAAAAACATGTAGCAGAATACAATTTTGGCCTAAATTTATAATGAAATTTTAGTTTTTTTGGATATTTTTTATGACAGAAATGAGAAAAATATTGTTTTTTCAAAAACATTTTTCTTTTCAAAACTTTTTAGTTTATAGCGCCAAAAATAAAGAACGCACAGGTGAAAAAAAGGACA